TCACAGAGCCTCATTGTGACAGCCATGCTGTTGTTTGTTTGTGTGCTGGTGTCCAGTGACTTAACATTTGGCTGAATAACAGTAGAGGCTCATAAGGTCATTCTGCTGTGGGTAAGTGTATTCTCACAGCTGACAAGTCATGGAGGAATAACACAAACAGGGCCAAACTCATGGGAATTATGGGTCACCTTTAACACAAATCAAGGGGAGAAGCCAAGAGGGCAGGAAAGGGCACAGCTGGCCTAGCGCACAGAGAGTTCTCTCTGACATGCGACATCCGGTCTAGTGCAGTGTGGTTGTTCAGGAAACCAGCTTGGCTCAACATATGGTGCAGCAGCCCCTGCCCCGCTCTGCTCTGATTGGCTCTCTTGTATCCAGGCATGCGTCTGCAGAGAACAAAATAGTAGTAAGCCAATCAGACAAAAGCATGAATTCCCCTTCTCTTGCTAACAAACCTCATCAGTGACATCACTGGCCCTTTAAACCAAACCACAAACATTTAAAACAAAATCATGTGAGTGACAGCCTGGTTTTGCTGACAGGTTGGGCACAAGCCGCACAACACATTGTCTCGGTGGAATATGAATTATGATCATGATGCTTTTGCTTTTGTTTTCTCCTAAAACATAATTGACATTATTTTTTTACTGTCTATTCTGTGCAAATACAAATTGCATTGTTAAAAAGAACAACATGCATACATGATTTATTAATTCAAAACTACTTTCTGAATATATATAGATAGATAGATAGATAGATAGATAGATAGATAGATAGATAGATAGATAGATAGATAGATAGATAGATAGATAGATAGAAAGGTCCTTTGTTCCCTTTTCACACATTAAAGTGTTAAAATAGTATCTCATTTCAACCCATTTTAAGCAACAATGCAAATGATATTAGGGCCTATTTTCATAGAATGTATCTTAATAATGCATTTTTCTCAGTTGATTTAAACTGATTCATAAAAAAATAATAATAATAAAGGCCAGAAAAGGCCAGTGCTGTAAAAAAAAAAATTTTTTTTATTAAATATGCAATCTCTGAAAACAAGTCTTAAGAATTTTGAAAAGTGTCGGTAAACATTTTTTTTACGCTGCATCCTAAATCACATACCATTTAGTGGGTTGTGATTGGGTGCAAAACTCAATTTGTGAACATTTAACAAATATGTTCTATGAATAAAATGCAGACATGCTGTGATGTCACTATCACGTAACCTGTTACGTCATTTCACTGCAATTCACAAAGACAGTATCCCATCCTGATGGGATAGTGAAGTGTTCATCAGATAATACACTTCAGATTCTCGACCGAAGTATAGGTAATCCATGGAGGATACTTTTCACCTAATGTTTTATAACTGACATACTACAGTACATATAACATTTGCCTATATAGTAGAGAGGTGGGCATATTCATACTCAGGGGTCATACATTTCACAAATATTTTGTGTGTTGAAAAAGAAATGAGGATGAGTAAACAATGACAATATTCATTTTTTGGTGAACTATTCCTCTTGCATTGTTGCTTTACAAGTCAATTTATCTTGTTTCAAGGTTTTTGGAAAACTGGGAAATGTATCAAGGCAAAATTAATCATTAAGAAAATAAATGTTCACCTTTCAAAGTGTGCAGAGAAAAGTTCACACACTGCTCTTTGTCTGAAAATTCGACCAGCCTGACATAGCAACAGTGGCTCAACCAATAGTGTGAGCTTGGGGCGGGGCTATTTATTTGTTTGGCCAATGAATGGGTAAGTACTTGGGAAAGTTGTTTGGAAACCTTTGTGGAACAGAAATGACACTTTCAGGTTTAACCTTTTTATGGATAGATGCTGTATGTTGTTTCCTCATAGTAAAGTTTGCAAGAATGTGAAGTCATTATTGGAGGGAATGTAACAAAATGTAGCTGTCAGTATTTTTGTTTGCTTCACTTTTAGAGGACTTTGAAGCAAAAAAAAAAAAAAAAAAAAAAACACTTGCATGACTGCGGGGGATGTGCACTATCAGTCTGCCTTTCCTGTTTGTAAATGATTGGTCAAGAACCCTGAAACTGTTATTGAGGAGGAAACAGAGCGACTCCACGGAGAACAGTGAACTGCATTGGTTTGTTTACACAGAGCACAATGTAGAAATCTCTTTGGGGAAGAGAGAAAGAATAACGGGTTTTGCAGGACTAATTTGGTGTGTAAAATAGCATGCGTATAGTTTCAGATCACAATTAGATTTCATCATCAACAGCAGAATAAACTGGTGTCCTATTGTTACATTGATTTGGTGCCTCAACATCCGTTCCACAATGGAATGCATAAAGAAGTCACTGTTTGTACTTCTATTGCAAAAGTAGATTCGTCTTCAAGTTCTCAAGGACATTGCAGGAGGAAATCTGTATCAGAATGCCTAATATAATCCAAACATAATTCATACAGTAACCTGAACTGAAATTACGTCATCATCCAAGCAAAAAATAAAATCAAGTTTCATGCAAGCTACCCTACTGCAATGTATACACAATTTGTATCTACACTTTGTGTTGTTTTCAAAATTCAAAATTTAGAGAATACAGTATATCTATTTTTCTTATGTTAATTTGCCAATAGGAAAATACAAATCATCGTCACGATTTAACAAAAACAAGGGAATGGTACAAGTAGTAGAATGTGGGAGTAGTACAATTCCACTAAGGAATGAATAAGTAGTGGGGAAAAAAAGTTCAATATGAGACCAAAAACTGTACGTAACTAAAACTTTACTTTATGTAAAACTTATATAGATTGTGTACCATTTGTTTAGTCATACAGAAACTCACATTTCATACCTTCATCTTTGCTAAACACTTTAATGACTGGATAAATGCAAAACACCACAACTACATTCAGTCCATAGGTGGTTTGCAGTCACGTGATGATTGTGTTGACACGCGGAATGCAGATGGAGGGCGAGGAGTGAAGAGCGCAATGGACGAGATGGAGGAAAATCCATACTGTACTACTTTAGACGCTATTACAAGAGAAATATATATAAACAGAAAATCGAAACATATGTTGGATGTGATCCTTACGTTATGAAGAGGACCGATTTTCAACTGAATTGAGAGATTTGCCTGCCATCGAGGCTGTATATCAGCAACTAACTTGTCTTACAGACATACTTTGACTTTACAAAGTTCGGAAACTGGTACGTTACACAAACAGCCACATAAGTGTATTTAAACACATGAATAATGTAATTATAAGCCACATAAATAATGTATTAAACATTTGACGAAGTGATCACTGCACACACACACAGGCATTTTCCCATTCGGCTCCTGCCGACCGCAGACGTAGGCTTGTAAGGCATTTTTCCCAGTGTTTTTCTGTCAATTTCTTGTATTTTCCACCAACAACAACTTTGGGCACACGATAAAAACTCCTCGTGGTTTGATCGATTTGAGCAACCATGAACGGCGCAAAACATAGGCATTTTGAGTGTGTTATAGTGCTTCCTAATGTAGAAAATCACTTCCTGCCCTCCATCTGCTTTTCGCGCCATGGCAACGCAGTGGCGTGACGTCACGTCACGTGAAAACAAGTTATTGCTTGTGTCTGTTACTTTTTATATCTGTTACTGGTTTCACCTTTCCCTTGTACAGCAGATGAAAATAAAAACAAAATCTGCATCAGGTGGTGGATCAGACTTATCTTCACTGTACCATTGGAAGTTGCTGTATAGTGTTACAATACATTTGCATACATTTGAACTCTGCTTAACTTCCAGTGCTCATTGTCACTTCCATTGGGGCTGTGAAGGAAAGAAGTACAGTTTCTTCAATATAGGCTGTACTTTGCACTCATCACTGTAGAGGTTGTGATTTTCAGCAACAAAGTGTACAGAAGTCTTTCATTTTTATTTTGAGTATGTCATATGTTGCAATGAAAGAAGATAAAAATGAAAGATGAATTGAAGAAACTGTTCTTCTGTCCCTCACAGCTCCATTTTCATTCACATCAAATTAAATATGGCGTGTGCCCTGACTAACCGTATTAAAAAGTGAAGAATGACATAAGAACATTATATTATGTTTGTCCTTTAAAGGCTAGTTCACAGTACCTCAACAAACACCAACAAGGTTAACACATTGATGATCCAATAACTGTTGGAATTTGGTGTTTGTTGAGCACTGTTGGAGAAAGTTACTTTTTAATGCATTACAGTGTTGTGTTACTCCCTAAAAAGTAACTATTTCTGCAACTCTGTCATTTTTTATGGGAAGTAATGTTTTGCATTACTTTAGTGTTACTTATTCTCACATTGATTGAGTTTGTTTGTTTTTAATAACAAAAAAGTTATATTTTTGGCTACAAATACTAAATGAACATGGTCAGTGGGGTGAAAACAAACTCTGACCAACGCCAAAAGGGGTTGAATGTTTGATGGTGTTTGTCTGTGGCCTTAAGAGTGTTTCTTCTCATCTTATTCTCCTGTGATCCAGAATGGCAACACAGCTGAAAGGTTTGTTTGAGTTGTGCTGTGCCCACTGTGAAGGCAAAGAGTGAAATTAATTAACCTCAGGCTGAAGGAAGTGCAAATCCACACTTTGCCAGTAGAGGGCACAGCTCAAACAAACCTTTCACCTCTGTTGCCATTCTGGATCACAGAAGAATAAGATGAGAAGAAACATTCAAATTCACAAAGGCAAATTCACACCGCACAGACAAACACCAACAAACATGTTTATTGGGTTTTGTTGGATCAGTGTGTTACCCCTTTTGGCATTGGTCAGAGTTTGTTTTCACCCCACTGACCATGTTCGATCAGTGTTTGTTGAGGCAATTTTTATGAATTTTTGTTTTTCATAAAATTCTAAAGCCAACTTGTTTGTTGGTGTTTGTTTGTGCTGTGTGAGTTGACCTTTACTTTAGCAACAAAAACAAAAAGTACACACAAATGTGGCTTAAAGCAGCACTTGGCAACTTTTTCAACTAAATAAATCGATTTAGAAATCATTTGGATGTTTAAATAACCAGTTCTGGTGAGAATGGTGACTTTCCCCGCTCCTCCCAGCGTTCCCAGGCGGAAAACCAGCCTTGCAATATAAAGACTACCGTCCTGGTAAATTGGAAATAGGAAGTCTTGTGAGAAAGCGAGAAAGAGCGAGAAACACAAACTGCTTTGCGGCAATTCAAAACACACATGCCCACCTCAAGCTCAATACTAGCTAAAAGAACACACGATGAGGGATAATGCTTCACAAGTTCCAGTGAAAAGAAAAAGGAGACTCGGCGGAGGAGGTGAGGGAGAGGAAGAAAGCTGTTGACTGAGCAAGGGACAGCACAAGAATACATATTGGTCTGCGTTTACGGAATGGCGAGAGCTAAATGACATAGAATCTTGCAAAACAGATGCTGATCTAGCATTTCTGTGTCAATAAAATAGTTTATACTTTGGTCGACTTCGTTATGATCTGTAATTGTTCTTTAATAACATGTAAAACATTGATTGTAACCAATAATGTACCCTGTCTAAATTAGAAAAGACTGCACCGTGAGCTTTGTCTGTACAAATATGATAAACTTTATTACAGTTCCTTTTGGGGGTAGATTAATCTATAACTAATATAAGAATAAGCGGTAATGTTTGCTATATTCATTCGCCCACCCCCTGTTACGGATTATGGTTGATAGAATACAAAAATGTACATGTCAATGTTAAATGATACTGTGTATGATGTATTACCCATCTCGTTAGATCTACTCTAGAATACCCATCTCATGATGTAGAACACACTGGATCCAACAATAACAAAAGCACATGAGCGCATCTACGGTAGAAAGGGGAGGTGGGCGCCGCAAGTGAATTTACATCAGTGTTGTGAAATATTCGCACCACAGCTGTAGGGGGAGCTCGTTGAGAAAACATGCAACAATAAAAGTGAAAATCAGCAAATAAGTGGCTAGTAATAAGTGGCTAGAGAAATAAGTGGAGTTACTGAGTCCAAGGAGAGGGTTCTGAGCTCGGTATTTTGGCCCAAACCCAGAGGACTCCCCCGTATTTCTGGTTAGGAATGTAACCAGGCGAGTGTGAGGAGACGAGGTGGTGGAGGGATGCTGGAAACTGTCGAGGAACATAGGTGAGTTGACTGTGTTTATAGATATAGATATATATACACTCACCTAAAGGATTAACACCATACTAATACTGTGTTTGACCCCCTTTCGCCTTCAGAACTGCGTTAATTCTACAGTACGTGGAATTGATTCAACAAGGTGCTGAAAGCATTCTTTAGAAATGTTGGCCGATATTGATTGGATAGCATCTCAGTTGATGGAGATTTGTGGCATGCACATCCAGGGCACGAAGCTCCCGTTCCACCACATCCCAAAGATGCTCTATTGGGTTGAGATCTGGTGACTGTGGGGGCCATTTTAGTAAAGTGAACTCATTGTCATGTTCAAGAAACCAATTTGAACTGATTCAAGCTTTGTGGCATGGTGTATTATCCTGCTGGATGCAGCCATCAGAGGATGGGTACATGGTGGCCATAAAGGATAGCCTGGTTAAACCAGACTCTAGTACATTTCATATGTACATGGAGTCTGGCCTCTCTCCATTGAGAAACATTTACTTCCTTGTAGGTGGGTTCACTATTAAAGTTCAAAACTATTGGATCTGCCCAGAGTCACTCACGATCTGCCATAGCCAATTGCTAACGCGTGGTCGTGAGTGACGTATGTCACGCGCCGAAACGGCTGGAAAAAACAAGTCCGAATAGGATTTCAGTCAACGAGAGCTGCAGGCTTTGTTAATCTAGGAACAATTCTTAATTCGAAATGTATATTTGACACGAAGGACAGTGATCCAGACGTAGTACTGAAGGAAAATGAAATTGAGCGGAAATGCGTAGGAGGGCGCAGCCAGGCTACATAATGGGATGGACATGGTCAGAAACAATGCTCAGGTAGGCCGTGGCATTTAAACGATGCCCAATTGTCACTAAGGGGCCTAAAGTGTGCCAAGAAAACATCCCCCACACCATTACACCACCACCAGCCTGTACAGTGGTAACAAGGCATGATGGATCCATGTTCTCATTCTGTTTACGCCAAATTCTGACTCTACCATCCGAATGCCTCAACAGAAATCAAGTCTTCAACTGCCCAATTTTGGTGAGCTCTTGCAAATTGTAGCCTCTTTTTCCTATTTGTAGTGAAGATGAGTGGTACCCGGTGGGGTCTTCTGCTGTTGTAGCCGACACAAATGCTTTGCTGCATACCTCGGTTGTAACGAGTGGTTATTTCAGTCAAAGTTGCTCTTCTATCAGCTTGAATCAGTCGGCCCATTCTCCTCTGACCTCTAGCATCAACAAGGCATGTTCGCCCACAGGACTGCCGCATACTGGATGTTTTTCCCTTTTCATTCCATTCTTTGTAAACCCTAGAAATGGTTGTGCGGTTCACACTACATGACTTGCTCTCAGTGAAATCAGGAGTGTTCAAGTTGTTGAGCGGTTCACACCGCATAACACAACATGATTGATCCACAACAGGAGGTAACTCACTACACGAGTTGACAACGCACTACATAGAGATACAACCACGATCGGATGATAAGAGCAAATCATTTTTGACTCTAATGAGAGCTGTTTCAGTACTATGGTACGGTCTAAATCCTGAAAATAATCAAATAAATAACGAGTTGACAACAACTCTGTCACCCAACGATTCTATCTTGTCTACAAACCATGTTTGGTCACGAAAAAACAGCAATAAAACGAACCAGAAATGACGCGAAACAGCACGTGCGCCAATACCCAGCGAAGAAGAGAACACACCACACGAATATGGACGTCAGACAGAAACTAGTGCTGCACACTGTTTGCGTGATGATTTGCTCTGAGAAAAAAAAGCAAAAAAAAAAAAAAGAAAAACTAAGATTTACCTGGTGTCCTCAACCCATGTGTTGCTATGATTGGCTGTACGCATGACATCACTGAGGTTGAGTCGCACGACGGCTCAGGATATCTAGCAGGCTAGATATTTTTCTGGGCTCGGCGACGTGTCTGCGAGGCGTCTGCGAGCGTTTTCGCTGCGTTGTTGGCTCTTTCATACTAACAGATTGGCAATCGTTCATCATCCGCTAATCCCCCGCGATTTGCACGCGATAACACCCTGACCTGTCGGCGAGCTCAACGATTTGCAAATCGGCCATAAATCGGGCCTAAAATTCTGTAGTGTGAACTTGGCTTTAGTTGAAAACGTCGGTAGGGTGCGGGTTATTTATACATTGACCTGCGCATCACTGATTCTGACATT